CTTCTTCCTTTTCTTTTTCCTTTATAAAACTATATATTAAAAAAATGTTGCTGGTACGTCATTCTAACAGCCCTCATTCTAAGTGTTCCACTGAAAATTTTGGAAAACAATACGTCATTCTAAGTTTCAGTTCGCTACTATATATATATTATATTATATTATATACTATTCCTTCCTCGATTCCTAGCCTGGATGCCATACGTCTATGATCATCGATTCCTATTTGTAGTTTGCAAATGCATGTGCACAGACATATATACACAACAGTTTTGCATACACATACTGTAATTATATATATATATAGACTTATATAGAGTATCCACCAATGTTTTTTAAAAGCTTACAGTACCACTAACCACTATTTTATTAGGACTTTGCCTTTCTTTCATTGTTTGGGGATGTTTGGGGTTACGGTATTTACTCCTATTCTTGAAGCCAGTTGATGGTTGCTGTGACAATAGGTTTTGCAGTGGATCGAGCATCTGCGAAGTGAATCCGCGGATGGTTTGGATGACGCCCTAGAAAGGTGCCCTTCGTGGGCACCACGACGGGATCTCCAAAAGGATGGGTCCCGGCCACTTTCAAAATTTAGGGTATGTAGTAGGTAAACTGTGGGGTATGTTGGATTTTTGTTGGGGAAAACCAGTTTAGGGTCACCCGCGTTTCCAGTTTGTCTCTGGCTCGCAACAAAAAATCCCAGACAGGTGGGGAATAGATGCCCTTTGCCCACCGGTTGCTTGATGAATAGAGGGTTCCCCATTCAACAACCAATAGGTCAATAGGCAAATATAGGCAGATGATAGTCTGAATTACACACCAAACCGGCCCCCCCTATTTTCTCTCAAGGGGCAATGCTGGGTCGGGGCTACTTGACTATTCACAGAAAGGAAAGGGACACGATCAGATGGTTCATTGTCCACTTGCGAATGGAACCATGCAACCCTTGGAGTCTTAAAGCCTCTTGTAGGGCATGGAGCCATAGCCCTAGACTCCATGGCAGTAGTTCACGTCTCAATCCCTGCAAGAACCGTAGATTAATTTTATTGCTATCCAGTTGCACCAGTGGTGAATGGAGCGCTTCGGAGCTAGGGGTATTCATATTCCCTATATATGAATACCCCTATATATATATATTAAATGGATTTAAATGAGGAGTCAAGGAGCTACTTGAGAGTTTCGCAACCACATGATAGATCTAAAAAACAGTAGATGTTTCGATTGGCTTGGTTCCGGAGCCAAGCCTTCATGACCCCACAGGTGACCACTCACAGTAAGCATGTTTATCATACATATGTATCTGTATATATATATACTTATGCATACACATGATATTGTAGGGGCCCCCACTGATGAAGGCCCACATTCCTCCTGGCCGGCGACTTCAATTCCTCCTTTTACATGCCCTACTCCAGCTACAGCGTGCTGTGCCCAGTGCGGTTTCGGAGCCAAAGGTCACCAGTTACATACGGATCTCTACGGTCAAAACAGGTGTCACGTGTTGTTTTCCAATGTTGGATATGTTGGGGGATGGTCATCAATCCATTCATAGGGATTTCATATAGCCACTAGGATGCCTCCATTCATCATGATGGGGTGGCCATGCCCCAGTCTCAGGTCGTGGCTGCAGATGAGCGTTGGAGAGATTTGTGGAAGGCACGGCTTTGGGCTTTGGGATGTGATCCAGGTGTGATACTGGGCTTCCACAATCCTGGCTAGGGCATTGGGGCATGAAAACTAGGTAACTATATAGGTGATAGTGTTTACATCCCAGGATATGCCGTTTATCTTCGGGGTGATGAGCCAGTACTCCTGACTACGTAGTAAGACCCAGGATCATTCAAGCATCCCCTTTCCCACGCCGAATGGTAGAGGGATAGCCTTTTCTATTGATCATCAATATAATCAACAGCTGGTTTTCCTATTTTCTTCTTGGATTTTGGGAATACATGTCGACATATGTCGATTTTCTATAGTCTTATTTTGCACAAAATTTTGCAGGCGAGGTTCAGATATTAGCCGCAATGCCGCCTGGATGCCCCTAGCCCGTGTCGGTTCGAAGCGCCAGGAAGCTGAAGCTCCTTGTTGTTGTCAAGCCAGTTTTCCATCCTATGGCTGCGGGGGTCTCTTCGGGATGAGGTCTGCCGTAAACCGGGGCGAGGGGGTGACCACTGCAGGTCACTGCCACTGGATGTTTGTTGGGCTACTCCAAGGTGGGTATGGCTAGCGGATAGCTGATGCTAGCTGATGCTAGCTGTGTAACTCCTTTTGGCTGATGCTTTGCAAGCAGGTTGATGGTCCCATCAGAAATAAACAACCTCATCTAGAATCTGCAAAGTGCATATGCCTAGGTGTCGCAAACAAAAAGAGAAACACGGCCTAAAGGGCTCAACTCCACTTCAGCGGGGCTTTGCCATCCAAAGGCGGACTGGAATGCCAAACCTCTTAAGATTTCGGATTTGCGCAGCACGCAAGCCCTAAAACATCAGCTTGGGTCTCCACTCTGGGAGAGAATCACCAAAAAAAACCGCACCGGAAAGGGATGGTGCGCATCCTCAATTATTCTGCATCAGTTCTATCCTGTTGGATCACCCGGAAAGCCACGAAAGCCGTCCGAAAGCCGTCGCAGGATCGACCACCTCTTTGGCCTACGAGTGGAGGGGGAGACCCTGCCCATGTGCGAAGTGGCGCAGGTGCTACGCCGCAGCCCAGCAGATGCATCTGGGACTCCGGGGAGACGAAGATCCATAACCAACAGCGAAGTGGTGTGAAGGGAAGGGTGAGCCATGTGGGGAAGCCTCCAAAGGTGGATTTGGTCACCGGATTTTATGGATTTTGCGAAGACTTTTTAAGGCTTTCGTTCAGAATGAGGTTGATGAAAGATGATGAAAGATGATGAAAGGCCAAGCCTCTGGGCGATTCGCTGGAACCAAGAAAACATCACCCAACATCATCCCAAAATCATCCCAAAAAACATCCGAAAATCATCCGAAAATCCCCAAAAATCCGAGGAGATGGCCTCAGACCACTGCGCCGTCTTCGCAGAGATGGACTTTGTGGAGGATCCGGAGTCGAAGGTGAAAGAGGAGGAGCTGCTGCTGATCCAATAAGCTTTGGAGGAAAACCATCGTTGGTTGGTTCAAATCCAGCTGGCTGGTGGTTTCAGAGATTTTCAGTGATTTTCGATTTTTCCAGCACCTGGTTGATGATCCGTGGTTGACTTTCATAGTTTGATAGGGCCATGCCAGCCAGCCATTGTAGGTTTCATACATAGGTTGTAGCATCGAAAACTGGGATTTGGTGGGCCCAAAGACGACCCAGAGACGGCCCAAAGCGGTCCCCAGTGATCAAACGAAAGGATCCGACTGGTGGGGTTAGATACAGGAAGGGCAGGGTGAATGTCATCCTTGAATTTCAAGCTTCTAGGGTAGAACACCCTTACCGTGGCACAACCAATAGATTCAATAGATTTCCTTTGGCGCAGGTCCACCAATCTTAGCTGCATACGAGTCAAAATTGGGTATTCGGAAAACCGGATGGTCTGCACAAATTGCCAATAAATCCCTCTTGGACTCGGGCTTTCGATTTGATGCATACCCAGCTGCAGCTACTGTATGTATTAGTATTATTGTTGCAGTTCCATACAGCTGCAAATATGATCTTCCGATGCCAAGGTGTAACCCCTCACAATTGTCCTATAGGTAATCATTCTACTTTTGAGGGTAGCCCATATGGTCTACCGATTGCAGGCTGCATTTCTATCCATTATTTTCCCTAGTTGGAGGTCATCAATCCATTTTTACCTTAGGTTTTGACCCATAAAATGGAACTTGACAATGCCAACTGATTCACTGATTCACCTACTAACGGTGAGCAGTGAAGGTTCATATTGGGCAGATACCGCAGCTGTAGCACCAATTTGATGATGCTGGCTGTTTGCTTCACATTGTGCCAACAATCGGATGCTAGCTGTCAGTGTTTTGGTGACAGATCGCATGGCTGGAATCAGCCAGTACAAGAGCCATGTTTCTGGAGTGGGGGGGGGTGACATTTCCAATTTCTCAGTTCCGCCAGAGTTTTAATGATCCAATTTCATCCAATTTCCAGTTTTCAAGTTATGATCATGCGGATTCATGCGGTAAAGCCAACAATCAACTTCCAATTTTGATTGTATATACCACATTATACCAGCCATTTCTCCTGGAAATGGGCATGGTTTATGGCCCGTTTGTCGTCGGCCTAAGGTTCACCTTTGGCCTTTCCGCCCCCCTTCAGCTGCCAGATCTTGGGTGCGCCGAAAGGGGCATGCGCCGTCAACGTAGAGAAGGACATGACTACTGTAAAAGTGAATGAATGTGCGACTACGACTGCATATATGTATATATATATAAGTATGTACACACACACATATATGTATATATATATATATGAATGATTGGTTATATTGCCAATGTATCTGCGCGTGTGGGATATATGTGCACAGGCATTTGCATATCACATGCAAAAGCATACAGCCAACAAAGATAGCAGTAAGATGACAGAGGTTCCTAACAAAGGAGATGCCAAGCGTTGGCATGATGCACTCCCAGTAACAAATAAAACACGACACAGAGCCGGAAACTTCTTATTGCATAGTAAGGGTCTTGAGGTACGATGGAATCTTTTGGGTAAAGTTGCGGCTGTCTGGGATTGGCATGGCTTCCCTTGAAAGACGACTCGAGGCAGAAATCTGTGGCAAAGGACGAGGACCGCCTGAGAAGGGTGGGCATATGGGGATATCGCAAGGCGAAGGGTATTCTGGAAGTCTTGGAAGTATAAAGTCTCAACAATTGTTCAGAGTTCATGTTCGGATGATCTTACGGACATTGTCTCTCGTTTCTTTTTGGCATTTGTGTTAGTTTCTAGAAGGTAACCCATTCCAAGATCCGAAAACGGGTTCCATTTTCATGCTCCGATGTGGAGACCGGGCAGGGCTCTTCGGGACTGCGGCAAGCTGGTGGGGGTCTTGGGGTCAGGACCATGGCTGGTTTTGAAAACTGGCGAGTAGAAGTTTGGTAATTTCCAAAAGTTCATCTGCTAACCCCAGATTTTTGGGAGATTTTTGGGAGCTTTGTGTTGTTTTCAGTGGGATTCAATATGGTTCAATGGAGTCAGCTACTGTTTGGGAAACGGTCTACAGACACGTATGAGAAGATGGATGAAAGGTGCCATGTTGGCATTAAATCATCGGACATTTTTCCACAACATGTTCCTGTCAATCGACTATGTGCTTTCTTTATTCATTGCCGGGGTTGCCAAGTGGTTACAGCGTTTTACTCGCAACTTTAGTTTGCCTGACATCTTGCCATCAAATTGCAACCGGCTGAGGAAGTGCTGAAGAAAAAGCGTAGTGGCCTCGAACATGCTGGGCTTTAAACTATACTGACTATACTCCCATGATATCCCATGATAACATGCGTCAATCTTGAATGAAATCCCATGGTTTCTGGGAGGGGGTAATATATGGACAGGGGATGAGATTAGCCATGTTGAGTGATGTTCAGTGGCATCTGAGGCCCTTGGCCACGGTGCAGGAAGCACCTGAGAAGCCTGTGCAGGAGAGACCCCTGCCGCCGCAGACACCGCTGGTTCCCAAGGGGGATTTCCAGGGCCGCAAGGGATCTCTGAGGCCATGTCACCCATGAGATCTCACATTGAACATGTGGAACCCACGTGCAATAGCGGGTTTGGAGTTGATGGTGTATATATATGTAATATATATATATATGTATATACACTAAATGATATATTAAATATTAGGATTAATTCTTTTTCATCATCTTCGTCTTGTGATTGGAATTGTAACCCCCCAGGCTTGTTATTCTAGACGGGGTACCCGACCAGACGGACAACTTCTTTTTTTCAGTAAACATAAATACGTATGAATATACACATGCATATAAATATAAATGTAATCTAAAAATAGATGCAACAACTATATTTAAAGTATATATAAACGGATAAATACGGGTTAGGCCCTCGCTTTGGAACGCGTTCAAAAGCGTCGCTTTGGAACGCGGTCTCAAGCATCGCTTTGGAACGCGCCTGATCATCACGATCTTCATCCCCGTCTAAGGCCATACATCATATACATCATATACATCATATACATCATATACATCATATACATCATATACATCATATACATCATATACATCATATACATCATATACATCATATACATCATATACATCATATACATCATATACATCATAGACATCATATACATCATATACATCATCAACATCATCATCATCATCATCACCATCATCATCATCATCATCATCACGAATCATGAATCATCATCATCATCATCATCATCATCATCATCATCATCATCATCATCATCATCATCATCATCATCATCAGCATCGGCATCGGCATCGGCATCGGCATCAGCATCAGCATCAGCATCAGCATCAGCATCATCATGAATCATGAATCATGAATCATGAATCATGAATCATCATCATCATCATCATCATCATCATCATCGTCATGCTTCTTCTTTTTCGTTGTCAGCATCATCATCATCATCATCATCACCATCACCATCACCATCACCATCACCATTACGTAAAGGTGCAGCGTGCTGATCCTGCTGTTTCTTCACGTTCGGTGAAGGGTTATTTACCCGTAGCGTAAATGTTGGTCATGAGTGTGTGTGCGTCGGGTGGGTGGGCACATTTGGTATGTGGTATTGCGATTTCGCGGGCGCCCTGCGTACGTGCCGTCGTCCAGAGACCACTTGCATGCACGGTAATTGCAAGACAGTCAAGCCGCTTTATTGTTTAACAGGAAAAAATAGAGACATTCCTCTCTGTAAAAAGTGGCTCTGTTTGGAAACTAGCTCGGTGTCCGAACCACTTCACCCCAACTCACCGCGACAGGACGATAAAAGTGCAGTGCCTGAGTCAGTACGACAGCCAAAAAGATGATGAGGTTGCTGTGCCTGTGTGTGCACAGGAACATGAGCGTTATGGTCCCACCCCACCCCGCCCCACCCCACCCCACCCCACCGGTAACTGATCATGAAAGAGCAGTGCCTGTGTCTGCAGGACAGCAAGAAGGATGATGAGGTTGCTGTGCCTGTGTGTGCGCAGGAACATGAATGTTATTACCCCACCCCACCCCACTGGAACATGAATGAGAGATGATCAGGGTGCGCAAGTGAGTGACATTTTGCTCCTGGGTGCGCAAGTGAGTGAGGGTGCGCATTTTGAAGAGGCTTGGCTTTCTAACGATTATAACTTTCATAGGATGCATTTTTTGGTCCTGACCTCGCTTTGGAACGCGCCAGGCTTCCAAAGTAGTGCGCCTGTCAGTAAATCTCATGTCTGTGTGGTTGGCATTGTTTTGATGATGTGTATCATTTTGTGTTCCAAAGTGCGGCTAAAATGGCGGTGTTCCAAAGTGACGCTTCGGTCTGTGTTCCGAAGTCATCCTGCTACCATAAATGCGTGCACACACACAAATTTCTTGTATATTATATCTTAGCATATATGCACACTTTCGGACGGGTGTTCCATGCCCTGACATGGAAGAAATCCGGTTCCTCAAAGCTGTTCAACCAAGGCCACCCGCCATCCATCGCCCGCTGCCTCCGGCCGGTGCGCAGCCGCCCTGGGTCTCCCCGCGCACGATGCCCGGCCCGGTGTCGCCGCGCACGATGCCCGGGGCTGTATCGCCGCGTATGGCGGTGCCGTCGCCGCGCACTGCGTCGCCCAGGATGGGCAGAGGAAAATGCATTGTTTCAATTATATAGTTTCAATAGGAAAATCCATGAGTTCCCATTGCATCAACTTCCGTTTTTTTCCTACTCTTCGGAAACCAGGCTGCCAAGCGCGTGGGGTGCCCAGATGCCGGGCCAGATGCCGCCGCAGATGCCGTCGCAGCTGCAGCAGATGTACGTGAGGGGCTCAGGGTGGTGTATGCTAAGTTGGGTGGATAGAGAGGAATCTGAAACTTCAGAGCCAGATTGGTTGGTTGACTTTCACATACTTTCACTGAAACTTGAGTGAGAGCGGTCCAAAAAAGGGACTATCAGTTTCATTTTTTCCGAAAGTAGGACAAAACGACCTACTGTACAAGACAGAGACTATTTGTAGCTGAAGTAGTCTTCAAATCAAAAAAAATCCTCCATCAGGGAGTCCAGTGCATCTACCGGCACCAGCTGTTTATTAAACTCTGCCAGTGCCTCCACTGCGGTGCGGGGGGAGCAGTTGTGCGATGGGAGCCATGCTCGGTAGCCTCTGCATGGGGGCGTACGGCCTTGTCCTGGCTGTGAACATGCTCTGGGCTGCCGGCCTCATGAAACTGCTCAGCCGGGAAGCCAAGGAAAGTCAATGGGAGACACAGTCTCATTTTCACAATATCTATACGGCAAAGGGTTGGGGGACCAGTTCGGTTTTAGGGTCGAACTTCCGGACTAGCCGGAGGTTTTGTCACTACCTCAGAAGTGGACCAAATAGGACCAAATAGGACCAAATTTCTTTCGACCTGAGTCAGATCGGCCGGGATTGTGCTGGATTTGGAGTTGGTATTCTATGCCATTTCGGTCGCCACCCAACTGTGGGTATGAAGGGAGGTGGCTCAACAAAAATGAACTCAGCACATCTCCGCGTTTTGGGGGCACTTGATATTCCACAAACATCCAACTGTATGGGTACCTTCAGTAGCCTTTTTTTGGAGCCAAACCAAGGCCTTAGTTGTGCCCGTGCTGAGGTGTCTTCCCCATGGAAAGGAGGACAGAAATGGGTCGCAATTCTCCAGCATTTCCCGATGGATACCAGACACATGCCAGGCACCGGAGAGATTCAAAGAGACCCCCGAAGAAAAGGGGGTTGCGGATGCCGCAGGAGGTACGAAGGCATTTGCCTCACATTGACGCAGGACGGATTGGGATGGCGCCACGGCCATTGCTTGGTGACTTGTGGCCTTGGTATGCTTGGATTCTAGATGTTTCAAGAAAACCTCCTACTCTTACCATGGAAAAAATGTCTGCAGAACCCACGTACTAATTATTCATGTTGGTCTGTATTGGCATGCTTAATCTTGAGGGGTGGGGATGATTTTCAATGTTGATCCCAGCAAGCTTCGCTTAACACCCGGGGCAGGTCTGTTGGACCATTGCCTTGTTCTTTGCTCCATGGATCGGTACGGAGTACGATGCGGCGGCTTGTCTGACTGGATTTGCAATGGCAACGACTGCCAACAACCCCAGCTGTCTGTCGTGTTTCCTCTATTTTGAGGGAAGCTACTAGTCACTATCTTTTTCTAAAATCTGCAATCTATAGTCCCTAATCTATACCCATACCTGTGTATATGTATATATATATATTTATATAAACTATATTATATTATAATATTTAGTTCGATCTCCCAGAGTCCTGTATTTTTTCATCTGCGCCTTCAGGCAACTGCTTCTGAGCCTCTCGGCAGTCGACCATGGTGCAGGGGAAGCCACATCTTTGGGGCCATTTACCCTCTGGTAAACTCACATAACTATGGAAAATCACTATGTTTACTGGGAATATGGCAATTTTCAATGGCAAACTGTTAGTTTACCAGAGGGTAGGGGGTGTCGAATATTAGGATGGGATTAAACCAAGAGGATTCAGACAGATTTCGTCCGGAAGCACAGAAAAATCAGACAGGCGACGGAGGACTGGATAAATAGATAGGTAGGTGGATAGATAGATGGATAGAGAGATAGTGGGGAGAGATGGAGAGAAGGAGACACAGAAAGACTAACCGGAGAGACATAGATAGATGATAGTGAAATATAATGATCATCATATACCATATATTAACATCGTTTTCATATAATAATGATGATAATGACATGATATGATATGATATGATATGATATGATGCTGGTTTTCAACGCAATGGGACCAAAGAGAAAACTCCAGGATTCAACAATTTGGTTCTGTGAAAACGTTCTCTCTCTCTCTCTCAGATTGAAGAACGGCCTTAAAGGAACACCCATTATATATACATGGCCTTATACATCATTTTCATGCGGGGGATTTGGATATTTTATTTGGCCATTTTGAGGTGGAAAGCCATGCTCAAAAAGATGGAGGAAGTCGATGCAAAAGTTGCAGCTGGAGAGGATACACATCGTCCCATGATGATCCTAGGCCCCTGGTGATTCTGTTGCCGACGATTTTTCTGACCTGTCCATGCCAAATGCGGATCTACCTTCCCTCAGCCAGGGAACCATGCGTCCTTTCTGGATGTGATCCTAGCGGTAGTTGCGATGCCGAACGCAGTCCTGAGGAGATGCGGGGAGCCTGAGAATGGAAGGGCAGGGTGGGACATACCCTCTGGTTATTTAACATAGCCATGGAAAATGGCCCATTTATAGATGGTCTACCTATTTATTATAAGTGGTGATTTTCCATGGCTATATTAAATAACCAGATGGTATTTTCTTTTGACACCATTTGTTTCACTGGGTTGACCAGCAGCGCTACCATCGAATCCAGGTCGGACCTACATGGATTCTCATCTCTTCAATCTCCCCGTTCTGGCCACGATTTGTCGTGCCTTGCCCCATAAAAACCAGGCGGTTTCAGGTTGTCCTTGTTTGATGCTGCCAGGAGTCCTGGTCCGTTTCTTGATCCATGTTTTAGAGATATTTGACGATATTTGGCCCTTGTAAAAGGGTGCAAAAGGCTACCCCAGCTCCCACAAGAAGTCAAGAGGGGGCGATAACTGTAAGGCTCTTGGAATTTGGGGGATTTCTGGGATTTCTTCATGTTTTTCTTTATGTTTTTGGTCGTTTATTCCCCACTTGCAAAAGCCAGCCAGGTGCCGTGGGGCACTTTCCTGTCTACTTCACCAGTGCCAAAAATGGCGTCTTTGCAGTGGACAAGGAAAGGAATGAGAAAGTTGACCAGAAAGTTGGGGCCCTCAATCATTGGCCGACGCTGAGGTCCACTGGAGCTTGATCCAACTTTCACTTCAACCCTCTTCAACCTTCCCAATCTTTGCAGCACACTGGTCTTTTGACTCAGACTTTCACTGTTTCAGTGCCAAATCATCTTCCGAGCTAGGCTTTACATTGAAGTTGAATGGCTATATCCAACTCATGAATTTACATATGTATTTATATAACACTTTCCCACTCATGATCATGACGCAGCCAAGGTGCTTCCACAGTCTGTAGGTAGTGCCCAAAAACCCAAAGAATGAACAGTTAACAAATGATGGAGAAAGTATCATATAATTAACTTTTCTTACTTCGCTTTTCCGACCATTATAAGCTACAACCCCCTTAACTCAATTTCCAACTTCGTCAATGGGGCCTCCCCTTGGGTTTGCCACACTAATCCCTTCCTTTCAGTGAGCCTTGGCTATCTTGGGCAATCTGGGTGTGAGGTCGACCAGTTCCTCAAAGAGGGTGGCTGGCTTTGCTTCTACCCAGAAGGTACGTGGTAATGCTGTGCGCGCCTTCTTAGATGTCCAAGTGTTACCATCAGTGTTCTAGCCTCGCCGGAAGTTTCTCATTTAATTGTTTTGTCGTCACAAACATGTCAAATTCTTTTTCAAGAATTAGGTTTCCGGCTAGGATTGGCAGTCATTGCCAGCTGACCTACCCATCATCCCTTAGAAGGTTTGCAGATGCATCGGTTGCCCTTGGTCGATGCTCTGAACCGAAACTGTGAAACTTTCGGAGAGGTCAACGGAACAAGGCTCCCGATGAGCTTCTGCCCTTCCGCTATGGTGGCATGAAGCCCCTTGGTACATCTTGTGTGGTGCGCCCCCAGTTAGAAGTTGGTTATAAACCCTATGTATATATACATATATATATACATATCTCTCTCTCTCTCTGCCATACCAGCTATGTTAGTTGCGAAGTAAGTTAATTATATAGCTATCTAGGGGTACCTCTTTGCATGTGTCTAGAGTCTTGCCTGTTTGGAACTATGTATATACATGTATTGTTATATTGGTTATGACATATTCCTCCACTTTTTAGAAGGCCTAACCATGCACTGTGGGAGCCACCGATTCATGTCTTTCGAAACTAGCCAGAATTGGTTCCAGGGAAAAATTGCAAAACTCTCTGTAATATGAATTTGCTGGATTTTGTTGGTAGATTTTCCTGTATTCACTGGGTTGGTTTGAAAGAAAATTACTGTAAAAGGACACCTGGTTCAGTACTGCTTTTTCCTGCAAGTTTTTCTTGGGTCATTTGGGTCCGGTCCCTCTCCATGTCCAGGGTTTCAGATTGCCATGTAATCAGGAATCATTCAGACAAACATTGTGCCCCTTTGACTACCATAAATGGGCTGTTTTTCAGCCACTGGTGAGTTGATCGAGGGCTTAGCCCCCTGGCCCCAGCAACATTTCCCAGGAAAGCCCTTGAGTTCGACGCGCGCTTGATGTCGCTGATGGTCCATGGGGTGCAGGCCGTCTGGCCGCATAAGGCGCAGATGGGCGGCTATCCAGGCAGGGCCGGGCAGATGGGCCATGGAATTACTGAGTTACTGGAGCTGATGCTGGTGAACACTTACCAACAGAAAGACCGCATGATGACAATGAGCTACACCCAGTTCCTTAACTCGGCCATGCCCAGATTCGTGTGGAGTAGATGGGTAGGCACGGTGCGAATCAGCAGCAAGCAGCTGGCGCCGGACGGCGTTAAGGTTGGACCATGGGACGAGCTCAAGTTGTCTTGTTCAATCTGTCCTTGAAAAAATCATTAATTAAACATGTTCGTTTGTCATGTATCCAAGAATTGGATGAAGGGAACATTTAAAGGCCCGTCCCCGGTTTTTTTTGGTAAACGCGAAACACCAGGTTTTGACCCTTGGACCTTTACATCCCAGGCTCTGCTGAAAGAGCTCAGGGCATCAAACGATTGTCCACAGGAGGAAAAGGATGCAGAGGACGGGTGAAATCGAGCATCACAACTTGGGATGTGCTTGGTCATGGTAACTTTTTTTTAAAGTTTGTTTTTTTTGTTTCCCTTTATTTTTTTTGACCTTTTATATATAAAACTCGACGGGATGAGAAAATTGCGGGGGATTGAAACCTCATGGAAACCTCATGGAAAATTTGAAAACACCGTGACAGACAACTAACGGAACCATCAATGAGACCTACCAGGGTGTCTCAACTCTGAGACCTTGAGGACCATGTGCTGCTGGCGAAACATCTTCAGCGAGAAATGCAGAAACAGCAGCTGGGTTTCGCAAGTTGTATACTAATATTCTGTCGGTTCGACATTTAGGACGAAAAAACTTTTGATTTGTGATATTTGGGCTTAAAGCTTCTTCAGTTGGTAATGCCCCCCGCACCGTGCAATAAGTGTCGAGCGGGGAAACCTTCCGAGGGAGATAGCTGGTGCCTTGCCTGTTCATCTTTAGAGGTGGCTCAGGGCTTGTTCAAGCGACGCTGGGTGCACCCAGGCATCCGCGCGGTCGCTGAAGAATCCGCGCTATCCAGTGCTCGTTTCATCAAGGCTTTGGCAAACCTTGACACTAATCTTCCTGGGCCTGTCGCTGAGCGCCAGGAGCTCTTGCTGACACCAAAGGCTAAGGTTGAGAAACCCCAGCGCTCAAGGAGCCCTCGCAGAGACGAACGTCCTCCTATTCAACGTTCTGCAACTACATACAGAACATCTTCGCCCAGAGAGGACAAGGAAGGAGATAGGCATCGAGGTCGTGAAAGAGAGCCTGAACATCGCGAACCGTCAGAAGGCAGTTACAGCGAGGAGAGCGGCGAGGAGGAAGAGCCCAGGGAAGAAGAGCCTGTGGTCAAGAGGGCAGAAGAGGCCCGTACAGAGCGGAGACGTTCAGAGAAACCGCCTGAGCCACCGTATCCACCGAGGGAGCCAACGCATCACCACTCCCAAGGAAAGAGGAAGAAGAATAAGAAGAGAGGAGGTACAAAGCATCAGAAGCATTGGAGGGAACGTGATAATCCCTTCAAGAAGAGCCATCGTCGGCTACCCCGTGACCAGTTGGAGCTTGCTCAGAGCGCCAGGCACGGGTTCGAGCGACGAGCCTGAGGGAAGACCGCTGGCCTTGTGGCCTTGCGGTAACAATGCCGACAGGCGTTGGTTCCCCAGAAGAAGTAGAGGAATCTCCCCCTGGGAGAGAAGGAGAGATGTTTGGTGCACCAGCCTCTCCAGAGGAAATCATGGCGAGTCTTCGAGAAAGGCCCGCGCCTACGGCACCCGTGGAGTACAACGTAGAGGAGGCCGCTTTTTGGCAGAGCCGTCACGTGCCCCCTGGTTCCGTGATAGAGTTTTCGAGCCCAACATCTGGTGCGGCCGTCCCGCCGGTGGTCGCTGTGTTGGTGTTCGAGTCAAACTCGCTGGAAACAGGAATGTGGCTGAAGGTGAAGGTTATGGGTTCGAGCGATCGCGACGAAAAGAAGGAGGCCGAAAGGTATTTCAAGAACTTTCGCAGGGAGATACACATTTGCAACCTTGCTTCGGGAGATTGCCCACTCATCGACACCGATGCAATGCACCTGAAACAATTCAAATGGTACCCACCAGGGGACTACGATGCAGCCTGGCTTACCCATCAAGCCAGGAAGGCTATTGCCGAGGGAAAGAAGATGGAGATGGAGGCCGCCGCAAAGGAGGGACGCCGCCGTCTTTCACCACCGCGCGACGGTCCCGGTCATGGGGAGTCGCTGGTGGAGAAGCGATTGGGAGCCTTAAGAAGTCCGCGGCCGGGGAGAGTTACCTTCGCCGCCGATGCGGCGCCTCCCAATACAAGGCGACCGGACGTTGCCCTGCCGAGCCCCCGGGATGGACGTGGTGGCCTTGCCCCAGTCTTAAGCTCACGGGCGCTGGCAGTTCGAAGTCAGGTCAAGGAAGAGGCGGAGGTGATCAGCGATGGGTCAGACAAAGACGGCAGCAAGAGGAGGAAGAAGAAAAGGAAGTCCAAAGACATGGCAGCGGTTCTGCTGAAAGCAGCATCATCGAGGACCTCGACAGCAGGCAACAAAGAAAAGAAGAGGAGGAGCAAGTCGAGGTCGAGATCCAAGAAGAGAAAGAAGAAGCGGCATCAGAAGTCTTCGGATTCGGGCAGCAGGAGCCGTTCGAGCAGCAGGTCTTCGACGAGCGACGAGAGCCTCATGGCCCCTTTGAAAAGGAGGTCATTGAAGGAGCCGGGGTCGGTCTTCAGGATGCTGGAGGACAGCGCCATAGAGCGGTTGTCCGCCGATGGCATCATGGACGAGGATCACCTGACCGCAGGACAGCCAGGCCAAAGACCGAAACTGCTGACTTATTTTCAGCTGGTCCTGAAGCCCAACCTGGATGCCCGCGGGAGAGATTGCCGGGAGCTGGCAGTGCTTGCTCGAGCTCTCGACTTACTCCGCGACGGGCGTCTGGGGGAACTGGCAGACGTCCTGGCAGGTCGCATGATGGCCATCGACGCATCGACAAAACAGGGGTGGCAGACAGCCCGACATCTGGAGGTGTACAACGACGAGCAGGACAATGTCGCGCCACCTCACGTTCTCCTCTCCGCGCAAAAGCATGCGCGCTTGGTCGAAAAGGCCGGAGGAAAAGGATCATGGCCAAGGACACAGACCTGGGGCTCCTACGATTGGAGCTACGATCAACGGCCCAAAGGAAAAGGAAAAGACTCAAAGGGGAAGTCGAAGAAAGGCAAAGGAAAAGGCAAAGGACCCAAAGGGAACTGGAGCTTTTGGGGCAACGAAGGCAAGGACAAGCCAGGAGACAAACCAAAGAAGGGCGAAGGAGAGACCTGACCCTCTTCCTCCGTGCGGCGAGCCGTCTCCCGCTGGGGTTAGGAGATGTTAGGTCGGCATCACCGGCAGGTTTGGCAACACCTGCATCAACCATCCTGACCTCCGCTTTTGTACCCGTTGAGGGTCAGGAGGAGAGTTTACTCCCCAGTGCGCCGGGCCGTCCCGCGCAGGGGGGTGATGGCAATACATTGACTTCATCAACAGCCTCCTTGGCCCCCGCTTTTATGCCTTTTGAGGGCCAGTCATTTTTGAATTCAGAGTCTACAGCTGGCGGTGAAGCCTGTTTTTCTGCTGTGGACGACGCAGGCCTTGGTCGTGCGCCCCGTTCTTACATGGAACTTTTGGGGGCGCTGACCACGAGCTGCTCCTTGGCTGAATTGGGCATGAGACTGGCATGGGGGTATAGCAAAAATTTGGTCACGCTGGGAAATTCCCGTGCTGGACCCACACGGGCCACCGTTCGCGAGAAGGGTGGCCTGTTCCCCCTGCCAGTCTTGATCCCAAGTGGTCTGGAATGGGACGCTGCTGGTTTAAAGTGCAGCGAGCGCTCCGGGCTATCAGTCCAGTGCTGGACAGCGGTTGCATGCGAAGCTATCAATGCTTTGTACGGCCTCCCCAATGTGGGTAAGACTAGAGTGCCGACCAAAATCCATAGAGCTGTTTTGGCGGGTCTGGAAGATAAGGTTCGTAGGTTTTTGCATGGAGAGTCTGTTCCTGATTTCAACTTTTTTGATGCTGTCAAGGATCTTAAAGAGAAGCGGCTTTCTTATACTGGGGAAGAAATTCAACCACCTCATCCATTGTCAGCTGCACAGATCATCAAAGGATTGCCCCCTGTGGGCCACGGTGGAGCTATACCAGTAACGCCTTTTCTCAAGGGTCGCACACGATTTCTCATGGAACATCCTGAAGAAAGTTTGTTGCCTGAATGCGACAGAGGAACTGCCCCTGTAACTGCTAAGGTTCATGTTGAAAAAGGAGGTGAACTAAAAATCTTTTCATTGCTTTTTGAGAGGGGGATTGTTGACTGGATTCCCGCTGACCAAGCATTTTGCGATTCTAGGGGTGCTTATCTCTCCGGGCTTTTCGGTGTTGTTAAGCCAGGGAGATACACCCCTTGTGGAAGACCGGTCTTGCGGGTTATAATGAACCTGGTTCCTGTTAACGCTTTATTCAAGGTGCTGCAAGGCGATATTCATCTCCTTCCAAATGCCACACAATGGCTTCCACTTTCTATTTCCCAGGGTGATGAAATTTTTCTCTCACAGGGAGATATGGCATCAGCATTCTATCTTTTTTCCATTCCCCCGTGCTGGCAACCCTATTTTTGTTTTAATTTTAAGATTCAGGGTTGCAAGCTGGGTCTGGGTTCACTTGAGGATGATGTTTGGTATAGGCCTACATGTCGAGTGTTACCAATGGGATGGTCAAGCAGCGTTGGTATAATGCAAGCAATTTCCAGGGAGATCCTTTTGGCGAAGGGGCTCCCCCCCGAGTTAGAGCTAAAGAAAGGTGGAAAGATTCCCCCGTGGTTTGCCCAGGTAGCGAGTGCTGACAGTCCCCAACGTGCTTGGTGGCAAGTGTACTTGGACAATTTCATGTCGGGGGAAGTTGATCGTGGCGGGGAGCCTGGGATAAGTATTCAACTGCAGGATGCTGCGATGAGGGCTTGGAGCACCTCTGGGGTTCTTACAGCTGAAGATAAGCAAGTGTTGGGCAGTAGAGAAGCAACAGAGTTAGGGGTTCGGTTTGATGGGGCCAGAGGGCTTTTGGGAGCCTCGCCACATCGACTTCTTAAGACGATTTTTGTTACCCTACACCATATACTATGCCGAAGATGGAGCAAGCGCGAGGCACAAATGGTCTTGGGCAGGTGGATTTTTATCCTTCAATTTCGCCGAGCGGCGATGGGAGTTTTATCGCGAGCGTGGCAGGTCATTGAGAAGCCCTGGCCCTCTTATGTGGACATTAATATTTTACGAAAGGAGCTGCTCCAACTTATCTTTTTGGGCCCCCTTATCCAGTCTGACCTGACCTCACATTATGATGGAGAAGTGACTTGCTCGGATGCATCTGAGACTGGAGGAGCCTGTGCAGTGGCTACGTCTCTGACATGGTCTGGGAACAGTTTGGTCGGCAGCTTGAGTGACAGGAGGCTGCTCCCCATTGAATGTCCTTTTTTGATCGTTTCCCTCTTTAATGGTATAGGAGGGGCCTTTCGTCTATATGACGTGCTTGGTATCCATCCAGTGGGACGGATCTCAGTCGAAATCGACAAGCATGCGAATAGAGTCACACGTAGTACGTGGCCAAATGTACTTGAATTGCATGACGTGGAGCTTATTGACAAGGCTGAAGTACAAAGGTGGGCAGAGATGTATCCTCACGTACAAGAACTTCATTTCTACGCAGGTTTTCCTTGTATTCATCTTTCTTCCGTGCGTGCATATAGGCAAAACCTGGACGGCGAGGGATCACGGCTCTTTTGGAAGATGCTTGAAATCCTCCTGTGGATCCAAGAAGTTTTTTCTCCATTTTGCAAAGTCAAATTTTGCGTGGAAAATGTAGCTTCTATGGACGAATCAGCTAGAAAGGCCATCTCAGATGAGCTGGAGGTCTGCCCAATCAAACTTGACCCGAGCGACATTTTGCCCTTCAGTCGACCTAGGTTTGCTTGGACTTCTGAACCATTGTATGAAATGCAGGGAATACGCCTTGTCAAGGAAAAGGGGTACATACGAGCATACATGGAAGGTGACACAGTAGCCAATTCTCAATGGATTCGACCCGGTTGGTCTTGGACAGCTCCTCCAGGGACTTGCTTCCCAACTTTCATGAAAGCTATACGGCGACGACGACCACCACCACAGCCTGCTGGTTTATCTCGAACAGACGAAGCTACTCGTAACAGATGGCAACAACATGAATTCAGATACCCTCCTTATCAGTACAGAGAATGTTTTCTTCTTTCTTCACCTGGACACCCACCTAGAGTACTGGACTCCAGTGAACGGGAACTTTTGCTGGGGTTTGGCCCGGGTCATACAGCCACTTGCATGAGTGCATCAGAGATGAAGCGGAGTCTCACAGATTATGAGGACATCCGCTGTTCTCTCAACGGCGATAGCTTTTCAATACTTTCTTTTGCGGTTATTGCCAGCAGTTTTTCAGCGGAGTTCGTACCCAGGTTGAGCCCGAACAAGATAGTAAAGCGATTGGGATTAGCACCAGGGGCTTCCATTCATCCGTGCACTGAGGTACCAATGAGCCGTTGGCTCTCTTATGGAGGAGATCCAGAACTTCAACATCCACTGGAAGAATTGGTCAGGCATCTTGGCTTGACCATTAACCATACTGGGGCCGATGTTCGCATCTGCACCGGGGAAGTCCTTACTCACAAAGCACAGTCACATGCTTCGGCTCGAGCATGGTGGTGGCAGTGGAAGCACCTGTTCAAAATCAAGTGGCTTTTCAAATCGCATATAAATTACCTTGAGATGAAAATGATTCTTCATACCTTACTGTGGAAGTCTCGATCCATTTCCAAAATCAATTGTCGCTGGTTGCATTTAGAAGACAGTATGGTTTGCTTGTATATTCTATCCAAAGGCAGAACTTCAAGCCACCTTCTTCAACCACTATGTAATCAGATCGGGGCGGTTCAATTGGCGATGGGATCAGTGTTGTTACATTCACATGTTTCCTCCTCCGAGAATCCCACGGATGCTGCAAGTCGTGATTAGATCTTGATGCCGAGAAACCGCCCTAGAGTGGTGCTGGCTGGAAAGACTCAGAGAGAAAGACGGAAGCAACGAGCAGGGATAAGGCTCAAAGACTTTACGATTTCAGCTCGCACTCGAGCGAGGTATGAAGCAGCAGTTTCACGAATATTGCCTTTTTTAGAAGCACAAGAATCCCTCGCTGACCTCGATGGGGTCGTCTGCGAATGGATAGAGTTACAGTGGTGCCGAGGTGAATCGGTTGGCCATATCGCTGACGCACTTAGTGGAATCCATTTCTTTAGACCTGACCTGAAGGGTTGCTTGCGCCAAGGATGGAGAATGTTCAAATCATGGCGTCAGATTGAAGCCCCACAGCGGGCTCCCCCATTGACATGGGGAATCGTCACAGCAATCATTGCACGTGCAGTTGAAAAAGCTGATGTTGTTTTTGCGGCCATCATTGGCCTAGCTTTTCACTGTTTGTTACGCACAGGAGAGTTTTTGGCCTTGCAATACAAAGATTTGGAGCTGTCGTCCACCACAGGTATTTGTTCCCTCCTTAGTAGCAAGAGTGGGCTACGCACTGGCACTGAGGAAGCCGTGGCAATTCGAGACCCGCTGGTTCTTAACCTGTTGCGGACGGCACAAGAGTTACATCAGCAGTGTCCAGGTCAACGGCTGTGGCCACACTCGGCACAATCCTTTAGGGACCGCTTTCGCAGTTATTTATCATTTTTTCGGCTGTGCCATCTGGGCATGAAACCTTATAGCCTCCGCAGAGGAGGGGCTACATTTTTACTACAAGAGGGGGTACCCTTGGATGTTATCTTACTTCGTGGAAGATGGAAATCTTTGGCTGTTGCCAGAATATACCTCCAAGATGGTCTGGCTCAAATTCCGCATCTTCGAATTTCAAAGTCAGATGCAGCTAGACTGAGTGTTTTCTCTGCTCAGTGCCCTTTAACGGCCTTACGACCGTGCTAGGGTCCGTGGAATAGTTTCAAAAATTTCAAAAGATCTTTTGTGATCATATGAGCTGTCCCTGGAACATCTCATGCCGTTTGAGATGCAGCTGGGCAGTCTCCAACGTTGCAAGCTGTTTCTTTGACCATGCCATGTTGGTCAAACAGAAAGTTTTCAGACCATGCCATGTTGGTCTGAATGTTCCATAGCAGAGTTTTTCATGCATGACTGGCTGACGCCAGATGGTTACTGAAAGCCACCGGGTTCAGCACAAGGAAAAAGTGCAGTTGAGTCCTATTCTGTCGGTTCGACATTTAGGACGAAAAAACTTTTGATTTGTGATATTTGGGCTTAAAGCTTCTTCAGTTGGCCCGAACCACTCCCTCCCAAATGGGATTTGCCTTGTCGAGTGGAATAGTTTCAAAAATTTCAAAAGATTTTTTGTGATCATATGAGCTGTCCCTGGAACATCTCATGCCGTTTGAGATGCAGCTGGGCAGTCTCCAACGTTGCAAGCTGTTTCTTTGACCATGCCATGTTGGTCAAACAGAAAGTTTTCAGACCATGCCATGTTGGTCTGAATGTTCCATAGCAGAGTTTTTCATGCATGACTGGCTGACGCCAGATGGTTACTGAAAGCCACCGGGTTCAGCGCAAGGAAAAAGTGCAGTTGAGTCCTATATATAGTATATATATATAATAATAACAATAATAACAATAATAACAATAATAACAATAATAATAATAATATAATGTATATATATATAGATTATACATATACATACATATATATATATATATGCACCCCAGGCCCAGGGGAGTGGTGAGCTTCGTCCCACATCTGAGGTACGATGAGTTGGCGGCCGCTGCGGGCAAAGCCAAGAATGCCTGAGAGCCTTGCGAAGAGATGTTTCAAATTTACACTCTCACTGAGATCTGAAGTCGATGACCCAAGTTGGGGTCAGCATTTTGATGTGGAAAGGCCCCAAGCCCCTCCAAGAGTCCCTCCCTCTCTCTCTATGAATCCAGATGACGCAGTCTGACGTATGGCAGAATTTCATTGATTTGCCTACTGCAATCCAATCCCGATGCCCCCTGATGAGTCAATGCTTGTTGCAGGGCAGGACAGGAGCATTTCGACTTCAGTTGTTCCACTGAGCCACCAAAAACTGGCACTGGACCCCCAGACTTCACAGATGGGCCCCGATGCCGAAGGCACCTCATGCTGCACTGCATCACTGCATTGCTTGAAAAAGGGCGCTGGGTGTCAGGTTGGAGCCAACTGGATGGGGAGATGGTGTTCTGGAGGTTTCAGATACTTTCCATCTCCGATGCCGACCTGTGATGAAGCAGAGTTGAAACCGCCATTGTTTGTGGGCTGAGGCATACAATGCAGCTGCTGCACAGCAACAAGCGGTTGCAGTTGCTCAGCAACAAGCGGTTGCACAGCAGCAAGCAGTGGCAGTGGCGCAGCAACAAGCAGTTGCGCAGCAAGTGGCACAGATGGCAATAGCACAGCAAGCGCAGGCACAGGCAGGAAATGGAGAATCAAGGGCCACGGGATGTTTTCATAATGTTTGTTCACAGTGTCGATGAACTTTTGCACGTGTGCGCACGACAGCACAAAGTTGGGTTGTTGTGCTTTTCTTCTTTTGCCAATGCAACGTTGCCAAAGAAGCGAATTCATCGTTCAATTCGCAGTTAACAAAGTCGGGAGAAGTCTCTGCTTTGTATATTCAAACGCGCGTTTTCAGGGATTCCGGCTTCACTTGGGAAGTGGTTGGAACTGGTTGGAACCCATAACAGAACAGTATCACTGTGCTAAGCCATGGTTTTTTCAATGTTGGCAAGCCATGAATAAACCAACCATGGCATACCATGGCCACATCTTGCCACCATTTGGGTCCAGTCACAGCCAGTGCCCTGTTGAGGCTTACGAGGTTCCAGGCGCCTATGCAGATCCTTCCATGGAGGTCGGGCCGTTCTTGGATGACACGGAGGCACTAAGCCAACTGAAAGTTGGTGAACCCAACAGAACCCACCTGATTTGAAATTGGATTCGTTGTTCCAAGCTAGTTTTCAAGGGAAATTGTGTTGCGACAAGGGGGCAGTTCGTTCAAAAATGCGGAGCCGCCCGGGGTGTTTGAAGAGAAACGGTGTGATGGATTGTGAGGTGTGGATTGTGACGGTTGTGATTATATTAATATATATATATATATTCATTTATATAGTTCGATGATCTTCCCATTCAAACCTCCATTTAGAACTTGGTTTTCAACTTGGATCGAGACTTGGATTGTGACGACGGGCCACTGCTCCAGGACCGGGCGACCCTCCCGGTCCCCGGACCGGACGGCAATGTGGAGGTGCCCAATGGAGACGAGGAGGCGCAAGCCATGGACCATTTATCGATGAATTATCGATCATTTATCAATGATAATATAAATGATATAAAGATTTTTGTTTTAAATACAAATATATATGTACATATATATATATATATATGGACGTTATGACTAGTTTCTTTGCTATTTCCATTTTTTGGCAGTAATGGTTGTCGATTTTGGCTTCGGCAACTTGGTACTGTATTAGATAAATAGTGTATACGGTGACGGTGGCTTACTTTTTATGTGCTACTGCTATGTCAACCAAATTAGCATTTAGCCGTTATATCAGCAACTTGGTCAGTAGTACTCTTCTTTATTGATTTTGTTGATGATGAATTCACCCGATAGTTGCTTGCTGATTGGTTTGGAATCCTGAGCCTCAACTACCTAGGGTCAGATCTGACCCTTGAGGGCTTTAAAGAAGGAAGGGTCTGGAGTCTGGAGTGTTTTTTTTTGACCCCAAACAATTTTTAGCTACTTTTGGTTTCTCCATTTTCGACCACAAAGCCTTTTCGTATCAAAGACCTTTGGAGGTTTTTGAAATTTGGAGGCTGCAGTGTCTCGGCAGGCTTCTCCAGTGTCGGACCCGGACGCCGTCAAAGAATCCGATCCACCACTATCGATCAAGTGCGCGTACTGGTGCGCCCCATCTCGATGCCGGGGGTTTGAAGTGGAAACGGGCCAAACCGTTGCATCATGTGGCGCAAATGGGTATGGATCAATACCTATTAATACCATTTTTAGGGGAATGAACATCCATTTACCAGCTATTTTGATGTGAACTACAGGGGTACAAGGTTTTGACACACTGCCAAATGACCACTTTCTATCATTTTAGTCGAAGCTGCGGACTTCGGATGGAGCGCGCCAATGGCATTGTCTTACAGTCAGATCAGGGTTTGGGAGTTGAAGCGGGTGAACAGATACATGTAAAGCTCCAGCAATCCAACCAAGCAGTGGGAATGCACCAAGATTTTCAACGTTGACTTAGATGGATTCTGTTCATGTCAACTTGCCACACAGGCAACCTCTGCATTCTTTGGCAGAGGTTGCAAACAAGGGCACACACAAAAATCACTGCAGCTCTGCAGTCGATTGAGCAAGAGGGTTGTGTAAAAGGTCATGGCCCATCAACCTGGGATGGTGAGCCCAATTGACACAATATAACATCTCAGTGACGGGTCGTTCCCCCCATTTTGGTTGGTTCAAGATGTTGGAGTCTTTCCCATTTGGTGCGCAAAAGCACCAGTTTTTGCGGTGACAACTGAAACGATTTATATATGTTAAAGTTTAAACTACTTAAACCTGTGTTAAGCCACCATATTCCTGTGAGTTGAACCATAATTATAGCTAAAAGTTATAAGTGCGTATATATATATATAAGCATTTAGTTTCATCTCACTATATAACTAACATAACTAATTTAACTAATATTAACTATAGGGATACCATGGCATACCTACCACTTGTACCATAAACCCAACAGTTTACCTAGCGTCCCCATTGGGCCGGAGTTTTGGCTTCAGCTCTGCGGGCCGGGCTGTGAGCCATGGCTGCGGCCAGCAGCTTAGGTCTACATTTTTTTGGGACCATGGAATGGAGGATGAAATTAAATACATATGCATACATACGTACGTACATACATACATACAGACACACACACACACACATATATATATATATATATATTCATACACATACAAATGTATGTACATGGACGATATGTATATTTGCATGTAGTGCAAATTGTATGCATGCATATTTATTCACAGAAGCCGTAGATACATGCATGTTTTCGTGCATACCTGTAACCAAGACTACATTTAAGTTGGAGCAAGTAGCACAGTTTGCGGAATGCATCCAACAAACCCGGGGCAGGGAGTTTTGCGGGCCGGTTCCACTGCAATGATTAATGTCATGCACGGATTACTCTTACTCTTGTGAGGGCCAGATGATGCAAGACTTAGACATTAGAGTCTTGAATGCAATCTGTAGCAGCAACTCTGCCTGTGGCCGAAGTGCTCTGAGGGAGAGGAGGACGAAGAAATCGATGATGTACAGGCGGGTCTTTGCAGCAGCATATAACCATAGTGATTTCGAAAACTAAGGGGCTCGGGGCTATGCCATGCTGCTTCTTCAATCATTTCCATAGTTGTTCCGACAAAGAAGGGATTTTCCCTGTGGTTCATCTTCTCCAGTTTTTTAGGGGGCCAACGGCATTATCCGACATCACCCATCCACACTAGCTGGATTTCCACTTGCATCGCACTTTTGAGGGTCATGTCCCAATTTCAATCAAACATTTCATATCAAAAACATCGCCTTCTATGTGCGTGTGAACATTATTGGTCGTTAACAACCCCACATATTCGTGATTGTTGTTGGTAAAAACATCCTTAATAAGCCTCTGTTATTGGTGGAGGGCTGGCTGAGTCCTATCTGTCTATACCTGGCTATACACAGGTATAAGTATACCCGCTTATGTCCCAATTCAACAATGGTTAAACATGAATTATGACTACCATTATGGTAGGGTTACTGAACAATGGGTCAAAGCCCTGGTAGGCTTCTGTTCACATAAAAATAGCTGGCAACTGGAAGAACAAAAAGCCTCCCCAAGTGGGGTTATCCCACTTATAACTGGCTTACAACTAGGCTTAACCATTTACCAGTGATAATAAGCCGATTTTTGACCATTATAAAATTATAACCATTATGGCTATATACTCAATAAGCCAAGTTAGCTACCTATTTAGAAGCGGGTGACGATAGCGGTCGCATTTCCAGGAGCACTTGCGCGACTCTGTCGAAGGCACCTTGCGACTGAAGCGCTTGCTGAGCGAAGACTCCGAAGCAGCGGTTCCGTGTCCAATGATTTGATGGTGATTTGATGGTGTCCCATGAAAAACCACTATGTTTGTGAGTGAAATATCATGGAATAATAAATAGGAATAATAAATAGGCATATATTTGATGGTGTAATTTATCATGGAATATTTTTATAGGATAATGGGATGTAGCCTCTGGTTTTTCACCATGGCTGAGGGAAATCCCCAACCGGAAGCTTTGAAAATAGGGAGATCGGAACATCATCTTTTTCAATCGCTGGGATTTCACCAGTGCCAAGTTTGATGAACAGAAGGTATATGGGGATCAAGTTATGGTATATGATTTATGGAGGATTTATGGAGGATTTATGGAAGATTTATGGGGAATTTATGGTATATGATTCAATTGTGGAACATCAATTTTATTAGAACATATTAGAACATACGAGTAATACTACAGAACAGAATGGGGATGGATTATTTGACCCAAAATAGCTGGTATGGGGATGGATCAAACTATAACAATTATAGAGCGTCAATTTACCAGCTATTTTGGTGTGAACAGACAGGTACCAGGGTTTTGAGCCATAGCCATATAACTTACTGTGCATGTGAAGTCACCCTGCTTATGGTAGTCATAATTTGTTGTTAACACTTGTGAGATTGGGACATCAAAGGGTATACCTGCGTATAGCTAAGTATAAAAATAGTATAAACAGGTAGTCAATGGGAATTCCAGGATCCTAAAATGGAGGTACTGTACCATATAAGGCCATATTTTGTGGGGATATTCCCTTACATAGGCCATTGAGGTAGGAATTTTTCAGGATTTGAAGGTCCGGGGAAACCTTTCAGAGGATCAGTACAACGGATGTCAAGGTGAGACTCCCAGTTTTTCACACCTTTAGTTTCTCAAACCAACACCCAGTTACATAAATATTATATAGATATAGATTAAATGGTTAGCTTGTCAGTTATATAAATGTAAATACATAAATGGAGATATAACATATACACACAAACATATATATATGTATATCTTATATTCATTTATTTGTATGTTATGTATGCCTCAACTTGGATATCAAGCCTCCAAAGCCGGCCCCGACCCCAACCTTTTTCCAGCCCGGCTAGGCTTCGGGGTCCTTCAAGCGCTCGAAGACTGCAGATTTTCCTCCGGAACAAGTGAGCAGCTGGGACGAGCCTGGAAGATCCAGAGTTGGTCGTATGATGGAGTTCTATGGCATATGGGGACTTTCTACACTTAGTTTTGAACATGTAAATATGTTCAAACCTATACACACATATATATATATATCAATATGTGTGCTTGCATATTTGGGCGGTCAGTAAATAGTTAGTGCACTCACATGGAATTGTGGTATTATGGGTTGCTACCCATTTACATGCAGTTTATGATCAACCGCGCCAGCTTGGACCAGCGCAAAACTGAGGCAAAATTGAGTACCTTATGTCGTTGCTCAGCTGACAAATGGCTGGCGGCTGACGGTTGGTTGTAGAGATATAGCATATATGCAAAATTATGCAGACACATAGCACACATACACGCGCGATATATATATATATACATATATATATATATAAACATACACACACACATATATATATATATATACATATATATATATATATGCATACATACATACATACATACATACATACATACATACATACATACATATATATATATACGTATACTGATACATATATGTATATATATATGTATATATATATATGTATATATATGTATATATATATGTATATATATGTATATATATATATCTATTCCATATATATATATATATATATACATTTTTTCCTCTCTCTCCCTATGTATATATATATATATGTATTCATGTATCCATATAGCGCATATTATGGTCGGAATTTATCTCCCGTATTCTGGTTGGTTTAAGGGAACATCTACAGTGCCGTGGTTTTTACCATCAAATTTTTGGGGTTTTCCTGTAGACTTTCCCTTAAACCGATCCAACAAGATATCCACCACGATTTCTTCCCGCTTCTTCCGAGGAAGTGGGGACTGTCCGGAGCCTCAGGGCCAGTAACCATGGGGCACAGCAACCCGACAAAGATAGAAAAGTGAGTTACCAACATTTCACGAAAGCTAGCGGTAGCTGGCTGGAGTTACTCTTGCTTCAGCAAGGGAGGGGCAGGCCTGAGTCCAACACTGTGATTTTTCACTCGAACCTCCCCCAACCTCCTGGGCATTTTGAAGCGGTGTTGTAAGCAGATGGTCGCGGGCTCAAATCCTGCCAGGTCTCTACGCAATCTGTATTCAGCATATCAAAATCCCATGTTTCCAGGCTCATATGAACCTTAGCTTTCGTTCACCCCCCCCTTGGGCCTCAAGTTTGTCGGATTCGACTTTTCCATATGTTTTGAGGTTTCTATAAGGCTTTGGAGTCTGCATTTGGAGGACCACTTAATAGTCTACACATTTTGTTGCATACATCCGCACATCTGAGAATACTGTGCACTGGGGAGTTGGATTTTGGCTCTGCATGCCGAGAATAGTGTAGTTTACACATTTATGATCTAGTCTAGTGAATAATCCAGTAAACACTCTATATTAAGAGCAGTTGACAAGAACCCTAAATGGAAAACCAATGGTGGAGATTGGAAACATACGGATGACAGCAAGACAATTAGTCTAGATCCGTATTTGACCGCACGTCCATATCTCTGTATGCATGAATCTGAACGTTACATCATTTGAACTTGGAACCTAACCTAGCAACCTATCGAACAAATCCACAAATTATACCCCCCCGTAAGTTAAGATAGCCATGACCAATTGCCCATTTAGAGATGATCAAAAAGCTATAAAAAAGGGTGAATTTCCATATCCCCAAATTACCAAGATGACTTCCCCTGAAGAAAAACCCAGTGTTTCAGCCCTAGGCCCGAGGACAAGGTCATGCTGCATGTGTTGGAAGGATTGGACATGGACGAGCTCGACGCTGGGCGGTACCGTGGTGCCCTCTGGTAATTTAACATAGCTATGGAAAATCACAATTTTTTATGGGAAAATCCACTATTTCTATGGCAATTTTCAATAGCTATGTTAAATTACCAGAGGGTAAAGCCAATGATTTCCTGCTTGGATGATGTGGCTGACAACTATTGCTGCATTTGACACATGTTTTTCGCCGTTGTCTTCATCCCAAGAATATGAATTCCAGCGAAAAAATGACTGGGATGATGATCCAGCAATTGGCAAGTCAACCCACCTATCCACGCCTTCGATGAAACTCGGATTTGTACGGCACAGATTCATAAGGCTGTTGGGGCAAACCCTTCGAGAAGCCCCGGTAAAAGAATACATCCACAAGATCTTATGGTTCCATTTGGATCCATTTGGTGCTTTTCCAGCGGAAAAATAGAGAAACACTGGGATGATGATCCAGCAGTTCTATAGCTTTCATCTTTTTGAGATGGCTCCACCACGCTTGGCTTGGCTTGTGCTGAGGAATACTTGGACACTTCCGAGTTTGAGCCTGACATGTTCAACTGGCAGAGCTTTGGCAGGTCGATGAAGAAAACCGAAAACTGTATAGCTAGCTTCGATCAACCTACAATCTGTTATATACAGAGACTGCGAAGTCACCCTCCTCATGATTGACTCGATTCCAAGATCACTCACCAGTGGAGGGTTGGACAGTCACTAGACCAGCTATGGGACCCTTCCGGAGCTCACGGTGATAGGGGCTCTTTGCAGATATGCCCAGATAGACAAGATATGACAAGATTAGATATTAAGAAAAGCTAATTAAGCTAATCAAGCTAATTGAGCTCATAAATTAAGCTAAGCTACGCTACGCATCGCTACGCTAGATAGCTAGATGGCTAGATGGCTAGATAGCTAGCTAGCTATATAGCTAGACACATAAATAGACAGATAAATAGATCGATAGATCGATAGATCCAAATGTGGGGAATCCACGCGCTGGCAGATTGGTTTCCTCAGCAGAAACGGTGGATTTAGATGGATCACCAACCTTTGCACTAATTTCCATTTAAGTTGCGATAAAAAATTGCACCCTTGCACTTGGCGCGACCTAGATCTACAGCAGGCTTGATCCAATACTAAATTTGCTAAATCCTTGGTGTGCAAGTTCGATTCCAAATTTTGAACCTCCAAAATTTCCAGCCCGCCAGAAATCACAGCCAAGGAGAATGCCGGCGGACCAGGCGCTAACCCATGTGGCGCTCTGTGGGGGGGCCTAGAGGGTTTTGAGATGTCCTGGGACCATGGAATAGAAACCTGGCGATGGAAGAGGTGTCCTGGGACACTAGAAAAATCACTAGGGTGAAGAACGAGGGGATTCCATTGCGGTTTGACCCATGGCAATAGAGCACCAGAATCCACCAGATATGTTCGATTAAGATGTGCATCTATACAGGTTGGATTTTGGGGAGTTTTGGAGGAATTGGACTTGGCTTGGGATGTGAAAATTGGTGGAACTGGGTCACCGGGCCTGGAAATTCCATAAACTTGTTGTACTTGTTGTTGAAGGATGGTCCCCATCCGGTTTACCATGGTTTACTCAGAAACCGGGAAACCCATAGAACAGATCAAAACAACAGGGGATTTGCAAGATTCCCCATGGTCAGGTCACCAGAGGCCATTAGTGATGAGTAAACTTTTTACCTCTCAGTTCCAGGCAAAGTTTGACCCTATCGCTGCCGCTGCCAGGGCATGAAAGGGAGAGCCTTGGGGGCGGCCCCATCGATGTGTACCTCGCCGCAGTCACGGTCACGGGTCATCACAACTGGCAACAATACCATACGCTACCATCATTTCAGACGGAATCATGTGCGAAGCAAGGCTTTTGGATGGTTTTTGGCTTGCTTTAGCTGCTAGCTTTTGGTGGTTATGATGGTTTTTGGCGGCAATGGTTTTTACAATGGTTTTGATGATTTATATTTTGCATGCTTTTTGCTGGCACCGGTGCGGCTTGGGCCGTGAGGCTCCTGACTTTCCAAAAGAGATGGAATCTGAGCAGCCTCTTTGACGGTTATGATCTCAGTCCTGGTATCGGAACTGGAATCATTGGAAGCCACCCATTTCCATATCAAGAATCATCGGCTTCCAAAGATTCCAAATTCAGAATGGGCCATTCAGACGTGATTTGGCAAATGAATCCTGATCTTCTGGGTGATGGTAAGGTCAGCGCTCAGAAGCAGGTCTTCCTCTCTCTTTTTGCGCTTAGAGATATTGAGATCAATCAGTCAATGACCATAATTCCGTTAAAGGCCAAACATATGGTGCAGGAGTGCAGAATTGGTGCAGGATTGGGGGTTTTCCCTCCGGCTGAGGTATGCTCCGTGAGCTTAGCCACAAAGACAGAAGGGCCGGGGCGGCGGTCCGTTTGTATCACCCAAATAGGGGATGCTATAGCTGTAGCATCCGTCTGTCTTGACCCTTGAGACTTGTTGTGTGGGTCGCCGAAGAGCCACCACCAGGATCAGAACATTTTTGGTATTGGTTATCTATTCACCTCACTGGATAACACAGTTGATAACTTCCAACATTTCAATTCCGTTTTGTTTTGGTGGACCTTGATGAGTGATGACGGTCCTCATCGGAGCCGATCCTCATTTTTCTACCTAAAGTTTCCAGATTTGCATTGATTTGGTGGGTCGAATTTCAATCTTCCCAATTTCAGTGGCATAGTTCCTGATACTTGGCTAGATCCATTGAAGCTGGGTAATAATCTTCAAGACCCTTTGCGAAGACCGACCCCCAAAAAATACCTCCGAGAATTTGTAGGATCTTAAGCATTGGGGCTGACCATGTGGTCCAGAAACAACATCACGGTTAGCTTACCCGCTCTCATAGGTTCTTAGTTCTTCCCCTCGAGGATTCAAAACAAGCCAGTGGAAATCACCTATTTCCAGATGATTTTCCCATTCAAACGGCAGTTTTTCATGGGTATTTCATGGTATTTCCCGCCTAGACATGTTTGATAAGTAGGTAAAACATGGTAAAACTCCCATGAAAACATCTGAAAACTTTAAAACCCGTTAGTTAAACCCCAAAAAGACGGCGGCCGTCGTCGCCAGGATCTGCGCTATGTGGTGGAGCATTATGATGGCAGCCAGCAGCTGGAGCAACTCATTGATCAGGCGAAAAAAAAACCGGAATTTTCATGGGGGAATTTTCAAGGGCCTAACATGGCTCAAACAATGCTCAAACCATGGCTTACCCTCTGGTAAATTAACATAGACCCTGAAAATCACCAATTTTTAGAGGAAACTAATCTTTCAACCCCTATCTGGCAGGGTCCATGTTAATTTACTGGAGGGTAACCATTAGATATCAGGATTTGAAGCATCAACATTTATGTTTTTTTTGCTTGAACTTCTGAGGGACACCTCATTCCATTGGCGTGTCATCATGATTTTTGGAACTTGAAAATGGCAGGCGCAGCAAAGTCTGCCCCTGCGAGGACGTGCAGAAGGTTGCATGCCAGGCGATCTGGCACGGAGTGGCATTGCAAAATAGATGCAACCGGCACATATTTAGATTTACATGCGCATTACCATTGTACATAGATAGATAGATGGATGGATGGATAGATAGATTGATTTATTTATTTATTGATTGGCAGACTGATTGATAGATTGATTGATAGATTGATTGATAGATTGATTGATTGCAAACTAGAGAGCCAGCTAGCTAGCTATTTGTTCCACAGAAAGAGGGGTTTGCCATCCAAATGGTATTTTTTTTTTCGTCCATTTGTATCCATTGTATCCATTTGTATCCATTATCCATCTGTGTCGATTTGCATCCATTTGTAGCCAACTAGCTAGCTATTTCCACCTGAAAGATACACAGCGATGGAAAAAATAATTAGATATCATTAAGTCACCATTAGTAATGATTAGGTCACCATTAAATCATCATTGACTCAAGAACCCAATTAAATCCTATGTATAAGCCGCTTATTTATAAGCCCATTCAATCACCACTAAGTCACCATTAAGTCACCATTCAATCACAGTCCGGACCCCCAAATGTATGTGAGTTTACTGGGGGGTCTAAACCACCACGACTTAAGAACCCCCATTTAACCCTGCGTATAATCCCATTCAATAACCATTCGATCATAATTCAATCACCATTAAATCACCATTAAATCACCATTTTCAATAGTTAGATCCCATTAAATCACCATTCATTGCTATTAAAACACCATTAGATCTCATTAAGTCACCATTCAATCACCCTGAAAAAAACCCAGTCAATCATCATTTTCAGAAAGTGGCCATGCCATTGAAACTTCATGTAAATCCTATGTATAAGCCCATTCAATCACCATTCAATCACCATAGTTCAATCAAAATCCCATTGAAACCTCCCAAAGCCAACGGTCGCGCCGCAGATGCCAATGGTGTGGTCACCATGAGCCGCTTCCACCGCTTGGAGTTGATCGATCCCGTCGCCGATGCGGCGGTACCTTCGGAGTGAACATACCTTGGTGGTCTCCGGGTGGGTTTGAAGGGTGAGATAATGGTGAAAATATGGTGAAAATAGGGAGAAATTTGGTGGAAATATGGTAAACATATGGTGAACATATGGTGAAACATGGGGTGAACTATGGTGAAAATAGGGTGAAATATGGTGGACATACGTATAAATACATGTGCGATTTCGCGGTTTTTCATGGAATGACTTGAATATTTTTCGAAAACCATGGAAAAAGGAGCTGGAACATCTTCCATATTTTGCAGATGGGTTTCCGATGAAACATTGGGATTTTACCTTGCAAGATTTGTTTGCTGGAGTCAGGGTTGGGTGGAATGTGGGTTCAAATGCTGTCCATGAATCAAGCAGGTAGAAGAAACTGATGGGTTATCGATGGGCGTTCCATCCAGGAAACATCATAAGTTAGGTGCAGAAGTGCGCTGCGCTTCGGCGGGATATAGTACCTACAAAGACTCCTGCTATAGTGAATATGTATCCTGAAGTCATCATTTCCATTGTGCTTTGCCATATGTGCAATAGTTTTCGAGATGAAATTGATCAGTGTGAGTGATCCAAACGTGTGGCGTTCGGTGGAAGAGTCCAGTATTCGCTTCTGAGGCTGTTTTGGCTTTAAGCCCGAAATCATGCGTGGGGGTAAGGGTCAAGACCAGAGTTGAAAAGGACGGCTTCAAAGTGAGAAATGAAAGGCGAACATAAGCAAAACAACCAGTGACTTAAGGGATGGTCTTACAATCAGTTCTGACCCATACGCACATGGCCGTCGCTCAAACTTCTTTCCCCCCAAAAATTGGATGCGATCATATGGTATCCAATATCAGCTCCCTCCAAAATCCGCATTGGAAGGGTCCATTCGTCCGCCCATATGCGTCGATTTTGGCGCCGCTGTTCAGTTGCCCCGGTCCTTTCTGTGGCGCTGGGCATTTTGCGACCCATGGCCATCTCGCTGCCAACACCTTCGCCGTTGCTTAGCCACGCCGCTTCCACAGAAGCGGACTACGACTGCTGGGAGAAAGCGCGGGTGGATCCGGACGTCGATCCGGAGGCGCGGCAGGGCATCAACGATTTCAGGCGGTAAACCGGATGTTTATTCAGGATGGCCGGAAAATATGGTAGTTTTCCTGCAGAAATGCAGAAATGAATTTAAAGGGGTCAATGATGTGGAAACCCAATCCTCAATTTTGCTAGACATTGTGGTAACCATGCCCATCCATGCCATTTTTTTTTTATTATGGCATTTGGTTTACGTATTTTGAGAGGTTACAATCATCTTTCAGAGCAATATATGTGATGATCTCAATTGACTTTCTGAGGATAGTAAAGCAACAGAATAAACATAAGCCATATTTGGGTTCGTACCAGCCTTGGCAAAATATGATGAAATATGGTAGGTCATTGGGGATGGTTCATGGCAGCCAGGGTTTACTCACATTACTAATGCATGACTTTCATATTTTCAGACAGCAACGACCCGGAGGAGTTCGACAAAGTTCGCACCGTTTTCGGATATGGATCACTGATCTTCCGACCCGGCTTCCCCTTCAAGAGGACTGGGAGAATGGGGCCGAGAGCGTTGGCTTTGCAACGAGATTTCCAGAAAGCTGGGTGAGTTATCGCCACAGGTTGAAGTCTTTGCAATGTTATGCATTTCCAGGTTATTTGCTTTTTTGGTATTTTTTTGGTATATCTTGGCCCTCATCCAACGAACTCCTGAATGTTTCTTTGGGTTTCTTTGGGATCCTTTGATCCCACAGATATTGTGATGGCAATGGAGGAAACATGGCTGAATTGCCATAGTTCCTGAACCTTGTAACCACATACGCACATACAGTGCACTCACTACATCTCACTATATACTTCTCACTACTCACCGGACTCGAATGTGCATAGCAGTTGGTGCTGGTATGCGGTTAATAACAAACATGCTTAGTTCGCCCCTATGCAGGTTGCTAACCGCCTACTAGCCCACCTTCTACCACCCATTTTTAGAAGGTTGTACCACCATAAAATTTGTTGGTGAACTTCCCATAAATGAATAATGAACAAAACTGGGATGCACATCCAAATGGAAAGCCAGACAAAACCCTTTTCATTTCGGCAAGTCCCCTGCAAATGGATATACATGCGGGCTCTAACTAGGCACGACCCTCGAAATTTCCAACTTTTTTGGTGAAATCCTCAGGGATGCACATCTAAGGATCCTAACTTCTTCTCAAAACATCCCCAAAAAAAGGAGCTACCCCGCCAGCGTGCGCGGCTTCCTCCGCCGCTTCTGGCAACGGAGTTGTGATCACCGGGGCACCCCAGAAGCGCCCGGTCGGGTCCTCGCACTGCTACGCTGCAGCGATGTGACGGATGTGGATCCATCCGATCGATCCGATGTGGTGACAGGGATGGCCTATGAGGTGGAGATGGAAGACTGGCCAGCGGTACTGGAAGCACTGGACATTCGTGAGCGCCATGGATATACCAGGAGCCTGCTTGAATTTCGTAGATTTACGTGCCAGGTTTTACCAAGAATTGAGTGCTTGGGGGTGCATCTCCAAGCAAAGGTGCCACCTGGATGACCACAGTTTGAAGGGATCGCAAGTTGTTTGGGATCGTGGTGATAGCCCCTCCGCAATTCGATCAGACATGGGATTGCAAACGGAGACCGTATGAATCTGGTGACTCAGTTCCTACACCGGTAAATGGGGCTCAATCACAACTTGCTCACTCGCAGCTAGCATAAATCCCCTCGGTTCAGAAGCTCGCAGGAGTATATAATTAATTCTCAGCAAAACACCATGAACCTCAAGCAACATCACCCCCAGGTCATTAGTTCATGGCTGAACTTAGAACACCCTGACCTCCATGGTGGCCAGGACGTTGGCAGAGCTCCACAGCAGTGAGGGCCTTCCGCTGGGCCGCCAGGGGGTGGTTTACTGCGCCCATCAGCCGCAGCAGAGCGCCGCCTACACCGGGCCGGAGCCGGTGGAGGCGACCGCGCAGGTGATCCGCACGGCCAAGGGGCCCTCGGGGCCCAACGAGGAGACCCTTGGAGATGGTTGATGTTTTTTACATTTTTTTACTTTATTCTCAATTGATGTTTTTGAAGGGGCAGCTTTATGGCCTATGGCCCGGCTACCTCTCTCTTTCTCTCCTCTCTCTCTCTCTAAGTTACGTACTACCAACCTGAGAAAGTCTTGGAAGGGGTGGGCAACTGAGAAAAGATGCGGAAGTGATGGCAAATCCAATGTCAGAAAACATTGGTTTTCTCCCCTCACATATGGAAACCCGCATAGTGACATTCTTGCATTTCGTCATGTTTTGATTGTTCTGTTTTTGTTCAAATCCCATTCTCGAATTTCAGGGGATGATGATTTCAATGGTTTCCGGATCCCCACTTTGAACATTCTATTTTGAGCCTCCAACTGCCAGCCAGGTATTTGTTCTCACTGCTGGATGCGATGGAAAGCAATGGCTTACCCGCAGACCCATACCTCACGTCTCTGTCTGCAGCAGTGCGAGAAAAAGGGTCCCGCCCACGCGGCTTGTGAACCCAGTGGGTGTACAAAGTCATGGGTGTCAATCTGGATCCCGAAACTGTGATGCCTGATGGTGGCCAGTGAGCAGGTAAAAACAAGGTTGCTGCCCCCAGACACGAGTGTGAGGACGATTCCAAGAGCCATGAAGAACACTCAACTACTTCGGGGACCAACTCAATTGACCGTGCTTCCAACTAGCCAGTCACATTAATGCGAGACCGGCGGGCCCCAAGCACCCCAACTTATCCCTACTCCCCGTTGGGAATCCGTTAATAAGCCCTGTGTGCTACGGTCAAAGTTGAGTTTCTATTTTCAGGGGATGGTACTGCCCCCTTTATAATGGAATCCCATGTGAAATATTGTGAAATGACCATACGCCATAAATCCCATTGAATTTGCCGCCGCCGAGGTCTTTGGGGATGCCAACTTGGGCTTCGCGCCACTGGGACCCGGCAGCGAACGGGTAAATCCAATAGCAACCGACAGATACCATGCTTTCAAGAAATCGGTGGTGCAAACCATCCTCATTTAAAACTTTGCTGTTGGGCTTAGAATCACTCAGTTCCACAGCATTGTGTTTGGTTTGCCCATGGGAAGTCCATTTTGGGCATATGACACATTTCTTCGAGCTGCTTTGCTGGGGAACATTTGCAGGATTCCCCATGAAAGCAATGGTAGTTCAGTTCTACTGTCGTTTTTGGTCAATATTCCCATTGAAACCCAGGCCCTTTGTTTGATGCTTTCATTTAATATTTAGTTACCCTCTGGTAATTTAACATAGCTATTGAAAATGGCCATTTATAGTGGATTTTCCCATTGGAAATGGTGATTTTCCATAGCTATGTCAACGTTTACCAGAGGGTAATCAACCTGGTCAAATCATCCCGGGCATCGATGGCGCACTCTGAGGTTGAACCTGGCCAAGCATCGCAAAGTCTTGGGCAGCGCCCTGAGCAACGGTGATTGTCGCTGGAACCCACTGAAAAAAGTGGCCTTAAATGATATATATATATAATGCATATATAATGATATAATTATATATATTTATACATACATAAATAAATAAATAATATATATATAAGCATATATATATATAAATATGTATTACAAACAAATAAATAATCAATAGATTATATACGTATATTGTATTCCTTTTTACTGTAACAGACAGGAACTTGGATTGGCACCTTTGTTGCCATGGGTAAAATATGTGCGTGACAGCCCTTGAGATGCATCGAGGTCATGTGGGACGTCTCATAGCGACGACCTTCGAGTCCCGCGAAGTGCTTCGAGAGCGGTACAAGGCGTGGCTAGCTTCGCGTTGAGGCTAGAAATGCACATTTACAAATACCATATGCATATGACACAATTACATAATTACATATAATTACATATCATAATCATCTTACATACATATATAAATATGATTAAATATGTGCACACATGTATAATATATGTACAAGATATGTATACAATGTGGGGCCCCCCAGTAATAAGTTGGTTTATAAACCCCATTAACTATAGTTATAAGTACCATAAACCATAGTTATTGGAGTTATAAACCAACTTAGCTATCTTGGGGGCCCCACCTTGTAGATATGTCGCAGACGCTTAAAATGCGATGCGCAGCCAGGAAATTGATGAAACCATCACGACCCTCGAGGTGCCGAAGAAAGTCTGGTTGGGTTTGGGTGTCGGAAACCTTCACCGTGGGGTCAAAAAACATGGAGAAATTGAGAAATACGCGGTAAATGTATAGTATATATATATATAGATACATATATACATAATAGTCATAATAATAATGTTAATAATAATAATACATATTAATAATAATAATGATAATAATAATGATAGTAATAATGATAATAATATATTTTGATATTTGACATATTTGTGTAAAAACTTGAATTTGAGATATATATTAGGTATGAATATGAATTGGCGGGTCTATTTTAAGAACGTGGGATGGGATTAATATGGATTAATTGAAAAGGAACGGCTGAACGGCCTTGGACCAACAGAAAGGATGCTGGTTGAACCTCCATCCCTCCGGTCCCCCAAAGTTTGAGCGTTTGGGTCCACTTTCTTTTTTCCTACCAGGGACCATGATCCGAATGATCCGAACTTATAATATAAATATATACACATTGGTATGGGCCGTATGGGTGAAAATTGAAGCCGCCAACATGGCATGTGGAGCACCCCCCATGTTGCTTGGCTCACCGCCATCAGGAGCATTTGGCAGAGGTGCACCATGAGATCGACTGCACGCGGATTGCCATGAACCCCAAGTTCAAAGGCCTTGAGGCGAACTCGAGACCCGGCGTTCTGCGGCTGGATATGTCGAACTGGGTCAGGGTCAGCAAATCTCATCAAATCTCTACATGGGATACCCTCTGGTAATTTAACATAGCTATTGAATATGGCCATAGAAATAGTGAGCTTTCCATGAAAAATGGTGATTTTCCCATCAGTTATGTGGTCACGTTTACCAGGCCGGGTACAGTTGGGGAAGTTCCTAGCCAGGGCACCTGGTAGCACTTCCCGTTTAGCGATCCCTGGAGCCAGGGCAGCCTTGGGGCTGTGTACTACAACTTTCCTCATGCAGGAGGGCTCGGGGCCATGAGATCCGGCTTTCCGGCGGGGAACATGGGACACACATGAGCTATGGTCAATACTCATGGTTAATAGCCATTAATAGGGGCTAGTCATCCAATGGTTCATAGGGATTTATAATAACCATTATAAGTGCTCGTCGGCAGGTGCAGGCAAGGTGCGAAATGCAACAGCTCCTCAGTGTTTTCCTTCAAGTCGCGAATTGTCAAATGCTTGAAAGGGGCAGCTGCAGATCAGGATATGTTCAAATGCAGCTCAAATGGAAAACATGCAAAAAGACATCAAATGGTGAAGTGGCAGTTCATCACTCCCCCTTGATGACCCCGATAGGGGGAAATCATTCGCCGCTCAAACTACCCCTATGTGTTCTTCACTCCGCAGCTTTGACACACTGGAGTTCTCTCATTCTTTCTTCCTTTTGGACACTGGAGATCTGTGTGGAAAATTCTGACTGACTTTCCAAGCAAAATTTCTTTTCCTGGTAGCGGAGCCTTGTTTTGACGACCCGCTTTCTTTTGGCACGTTCGACACCATCTTCCTTCAAACACCTGTCCAACCTTGGGCCCTTTCAGGTGGCCACATGCTCGATCTTGATGGTACACAGCTCCATACTGTGTATAGTAGACATCAAAGTCAGTCGCTGGTTCAGGTGGATCATCTTCTGTCCACAGTGCGCTCCCTGGTGTATTCAGCTCTCTTTGAATCATAGCTTCATCTCTTTCTAGCTCTCTCCATTCTCTTTCCCAACGTTCATCATCTGCGATCTGCTGCTGGATCAGGGAATCAAGGGTTTGGCCTGATGATGCCGCACCCGAAGGGCCACCATGGCCGGCACGGGCCCGTCCTGGGTCTCCTCCACCCGGAACTGCCACACATGCCTCAGGGGGCTGGCTCTCCTTAGCCGCCTCACCTGCTTCAGGGAGCTGGTTTGGGTCTCCTCTACCCTCAACCGCATCACCTGGAATGATCCCCCTGTCCAGCAGCGTCGCGCAATCTTTTCCTTGGCTGTTGGGGCGACTTCGGGACTTCCGGGATTGAGGCTCTTCGGTCTCTCCCTGTCTCATCCTTACTGCGACCTTCCAAACAGCCTGAACAGTGACGGTGGCGACGATGACCATCACGGTATACGCCGCGACCATCCAGTGAAACGCATTGAAACTTTCCATATCTTCCTCCTCTTGTTTTTCACCCTTGGCCACGGACATCATGGCGACCAGAGTGATCAGGCGAACAGCTGCAATCGCCTGCTCAGTTGATGCAACCTGCTTCTCTGCTGGCAGGTTCGCTTCTTTTCCTACTTCCTCCTCTTTTCTTTTCTTCCCCATGCCCATCATTGACTTGAGTGTTTCAATTCTTGTAGAAGTCAATGCTTTGGTGCCGATGTCTGCGATCATCTTTTCTCCTGGCAAGTGGTTGAGACCCCATTCTCCTCCCAAGATCGCCTGTCTGGCGTAGGAGGAGCGCAAACGGAGATGTCTCGTTCTCCAAGAGCCTCCTTCACTGGTGAGGATGCTCACTGCTGTTGAGCTGTCAGTCCAAGCCATTTTTCTGACACCAGCTTGGATTTCTTCTATCAGCACTGCTACTGATTCTCCTGCATTGAGTCCCTCCACCAGCTCATTCAGCTCTGCCTCGCCAGTTGAGAGCGTCACTGATGCCTGACGACCAGATCGCCAGAACAACGGACATCGATTGACCATGACCAGGTAAGAGCCGTGTGACTCTTCACCTTCCGGCGCGAAGGACGCGTCGGTATACACCTGGACAACCGGTTCTTCTTCTGTCTCTTCCTCATACCTCAAGCCTTCTGCACTTGTCTTTTTCAGAAAGCCCCAGAGTTGTGAAGCTGCTTCCATCACTTTCCTGGTGGCGCGAGTGACGTTCGCACCCATGCGGGCTACTGAAAACATTATGTCCGGTCTGGTTCTAGTGACTAACCAGAGCACTTCTCCTACCGCTTTCTGACACTTTCTGACCCTCTCTATGCTGGGAGGCTCCTCATCAACCTCCATGGCTGCTTGATCTCGTGATATTGGAATCTTCTTCTCTTTGACTTCTTCTTCTTGACGGCTCACGAGATCTTTGATGTATGACTCCTGTGTTATGAGCCATACTTCTCGTTGTGTCTCAGGGTCCACCTCCTTGGTCACTTCCATGCCCAGGAAACGCACCGGTGATGACGAAACCCACTCTGGCTTCGAAGTGGCCCAGATGCTTTGAAACTCTTTCAGGAGCGCCTCCACAACTGGTTGACAGCCAGAGATGAAAATGTCATCCACGTACGTCATGACCATGCCATACAGTTGAAACTCTTCTTCCAGCTCTCGTTGTTTCTCCCCCTCGGCCTTGACTACCTTCCACAAGTTGGGTTCTGACTCCAGGGGCTCCAAGAC